CAACTTGCCCAGGATCACCCAGTTAATAACTGATGGATCAGGATTGAGTTCAGTAATCCACCTCCACAATTCTTACTCCAAAATAGTTTGCAAATTGTAATGTCTTCCATAGGAATTTTTAAGAGAAAATTTCCACATAGGATCTTACACCTTACAGGTAGACTTTGTAATCTAATAAATACGGTGGTGGTTATCTCTTCAGATGTTTTTCTGTGCATATTAAATATGTGTATGAATATGTGTGTGTAATTGTGTGTTAGTGTATTTCTTCAGTTAGGAATGATTGATGGTCAAGAATATCTGAATTATGCTAATATCTCTTGTTAACCCGACCTAATTTAATGAACTATCCCCTATAAATGGACGCCTAGATTGTCTGTCTATCATATAAATAACATTAGTATGAGCACCCTTATTACCTAAAGAACAAATACTCTAAAACTTCTAAATATAAAAACAAAACTTGGTAACTGGGAAGTGATGGAGGTATTAACTTACCTTATTGTGGCAATCATTTCATAATAGAGAGTATATCAAATTATCGTGTTGTATGCCTTAAATTTATACATGTTATATGTTAAGTATATCTCAGTAAGCTAGAGAAAAAAAAATCCCTATAAGTGAAATTCTAAATGGACAGTTGTTTCTTTGTTGAGCAAGTGGATAATTGTAGAGGCAGCAGGGTGATAACAAGGAGTCAAAATTCATCTTTTACCCCAGGGTCTGTCTTTTGTTTTTGTTTTTAAAGGATTTTAGTATTCTAAGGCCCTTAAAATGAGGATGAGTCACCCACCCCAATGGATATTTGTCCCAGTGAAAGACAATTTTGGAGAAGCACTTGCCTCCCATTTCCGGGATGTCTTCTTGGTGGATGTCCCTTTGTGAGTAAAGGGCTGTGTCATTTTATACCATCATCTTGAGCATGTGTGATACACATACCAGAGTTGTATTTGTATATCAAAACCTTGGTTATTATTATTATTAACCCAAAGTCCCACATATAAAATGTGCCTTCATTTACTGTTAAAAAAAATTGAAGACATTGCCAACTACGTCATCAACAGCACTTCATGTAAAAGGCTATCTTAAGAAACCCTAGAATTCATGCTGGTGCCCTGCTTCCCCATGAGGGGCCTGGCCTACTTCCCCTTCCCCTGTGAAAGCACAGTGACCATGCTGTGCTCTGCTCTTCCTGCCAGGAAACTTGCTACAGCAAAAATCTACTACCCACCATGTCACCACGTCTGCCTGCATTCAATGAACTCTTTTCCTTGGCGAGAATTCTTTGTTTTCATTTTATTAAACTCATTATTGCCTTTTTGTGTAAAAGCATTTCCAATCCTTTTGAGAAGCAGGCTTTAAAAATAATCTCTTTGTTGGGCATCATTAATAGTAGATAAAACACAAGTTTCAAAATAGCCATCATATGGCACAATGGTGAGAGCACAGACTTTAGGCTGAAGCTGTGGGTGAGTCCCAGTGCCACCACTCACTCGCACTGTGGCTTTGGGCCAGTCATTTAAGCTTTCTGAGCTTAGTTTTACTCCTCTGTAAAGTGGGGCTAATAAAACCTGAGTGGTAGAGTTTCTTTGAGGATTGAGATGCTTAGAAAATTATACGTGTTCAGTTCAGAAATACTAAGGTGTGAATCACTGTAAAATGTAACATATCACTTGCAAGCATGTGTAACCACTTTCTCAGTTTTTGTTGGGTGTACGTTGTATTTTCTACTTTTCCTGTAGCGTAAGGAATTAAATGCAAGACCTGGTTTGAGTTCAAGTTGCTCTTCCCCATGTCACAACAGGTTACTCCCTGAGCTTTCTTTATTTTATTTTAATTTTTTATTAAAGTATTATTCCCTGAGCTTTCTTGCTGGACTGTGGATAAACCACAAGGCCCCAAACACAAGGCTCCTGTCTGGTGGGTGGCCAGCAGAGGCCCGTTCAGCCTGAGCAGTGGGTGCACGGTGACCTATGTGGAGTGGAATTTTAGTTGTTTTCATCTACAGTATATATATTTGGTTCTCAGTTGGCCATGGTGATGCGAGAGGCAAAAACATGAAACAGGCATAAATAAATGATAATCCTGGTACTAACTATCTCCACCCCCTCACACATCCACCTGCTTTTAATTTTCACCCTTCATCTTCCTTCCATGGCCATGCCCCTTGGGCAGTTGCCACCGTCTCTCCACCTGGGGCCCTTGCAGGGTCTGTGTCTCCCTTCTCCCACTTCAGCTCTCTTCTCCCTCATCACTTCCTAAAGAGTTCTCACTCATAAGTGGAGATCTCCTATCATCTTCCCTGGTTAAAATTTTTTTGTGGCTTCCTGCTGAAATAAAGGCCACTTTGCTTGGCATGACATATGATGAGCATACCACAAAGTACTTTCCTAATCTCATCTCCTGATTTCACACACACCCCAGGGGTTTCTAACATTTTGAACAATATTTTGCATAGAGTTGTTCATAATACCCTCCTACTTTCTCCCCTCTCTAACTTACAATTTTGAAAATTCCAAATCTATTTTAAAAAGTAAAAGAATGTCCTCACCTAGATTCACTACTTTTTAAATATTTGTCACATTTGTCCTCCACCCTCTTCTCTTGTTCTTTTTGGCCAAAATGTTGAGCTTCGCAGACAGCATGAGTGTTCATCCCTGCAGTCCTGGCCAACAGCTCCTGGATACCGGGATTCTCCTGCAAAACCACACCACCTTTGCCACGCCTGTAAAGCTGAACAATTCCCTACATTCTTGTTCAAACATATTCAGATTTCCCCAATTATCCCAGCTCTGTCTGCTCTTTCTACAAATGTGCTGCTCTGAGCACCTGTGGTGCACAGGCCCTGTTCTGGGTTGCTTTCTGTAGGAGAGCTGACAATACATACAACATGTATTGGAACATCGGGCGTGAAAGGAAAAAGAGAGTGTAAAGCGTGGGGAGTGGGCAGAAGAATGATCACCCTTTTCAACGGGTGGTTGGTGAAGACCTGTCCGGGGAGGTAATATTAGCGTCCACATCAAAGCCAGAGACAGAACGGGAGGAGCAGCCAGGCCGGGCGGGGCTGTGGCACCGCCTGAGAGGGGCAGGGAGGGGGCAGGGTCTGCGTCCGGTGGGCAGGGCCGGCAGGGCTCCTCCTTCGGGGCGGCTCGACGGGTGGGGTGCGGCGCATGCCGCGCGCGAGACCGCGGCCGGTGCCCTGTCCGTCCTTTATATAGCACCGTTTTAACGGCTGATAGGTAAACCCAACTATTTGGGAGGGTAGAGGGACTGGTGAAAAAGAACTCTCCTGTTTATTTACGGATCAACTTTCAAGCCCTTCTCTATTTCAAAAACCTTAGCATATGAAAAAAAGCTGTTTTGAATCAAAGTTCTTGTTTCCCCTTTATTTTGGGAACTACAGTTTGCTAGTTTCAGAAAGAGGTGTGGCTGTCCATTAGAGCCTTCATACCTCAATAATGAAATGATAAACAAGTTGAAGGTCACAGACCAACTGGAGGCCTGCAGGACACAGGGCAGAGATGAGCTGTTTCAACAATGCGGAATAGATGCTAGTGTAGAGAACATCGGGATATACCTAAGAACAATTCCCCACCCGCCCTAGATGCTCCCTAATTCAACAGCCTCCTCCCCAAGTCATCTCCCCGAAATCAACACTGTTCCCTCTGATGTTCTGGGCAGTGTCCCCAACGGCAGTGCTTCAGAATTACACAGATCTGGTGGGGAGCACCCTGCCCTCATCGGACCTCAAGAGCATTTCCTGGAATGTGTCCAGGGAATCTGTTCTGTTAAGTCTAGATAATTCTGATGTTCCTTCGGCTTGGTCACCACTACCATGTAGGACCTTCCAACGGAGCTCGTAGCTGATTGCGTTTTGTTTTTAATGTGCAGATTTGACCACGAGGCTGTACTGTGAGTCAGGGTTTGTGTGCTTTGTGTGGTGCTCCACACATGTTGGTATTAACTGAGTAAGTGAATGAAAGAGTTTAGCATTAGAAGCAAGGTCATGTCATTCCGTGCTGGTCAAGCACAAGTAAGTCCCCTTCCACCGTCCATTCTTCCTCCTAAGTCTTTTGCCTGGTTCTGGCTTGCTGAGGCCGTCGTTGGTGCCTCCAGCTCTGCCATCTCTCCTGGTTTTCACACTTGCATATCTGATTACTGACAAGCCTGCTGGATTTGATCATTTGGATGTTCCTACAAGCATCTTTTCTCCAATACCTGTCTTCTCATTTTCTTCCAGGCTTGGTGAAGGCCATACCATTTTCCTAGGCCCCAGGCCACATTGCACTGGAGTCAGGTTTTGTGCTCTGTAGCTCCCAGTTGTGCTTGCCTTTGAGGCTTCCAGCCCCTTCACTTTACCTTACAGTTGTGTCATTAGTCCAGGGTAAAGAAAAACAGCATTGCACCCAGGGTGTGCCCCCTGTCCATCCACTCCTGGCCACCCCTTCCTGCTCCTTGGCTAAAGGGTTTTGCGTTATAGAACTAATGCCCTGAAAGGATCAGCTTGAACGAGTTCCCTCAAGAGGCCATGTCATCTCAGGTTCAGTACTTTGCAGTGAAGTTCCTTCTTCCTGGAAACCCTTTACTGCCTTTGCACCTGGGCCCTCCCATCGGACTCAGTGTTCCCTTCTGGATGCAACCCCTGACCACATCCTTTCCTCTTGCCTGAGTTAGATGTCCTTTCTTAGGTCCTGTGCATCCACAGTCCCTGACTCTCCACAAACACACATTTTTGCCACAAGAACATGATCCCCTTTAGGAAAAGAATAATGTCTTGGTGACATAAAATTGATGCTCAGTAAATAGTTGCTGAATGAATGAATGAACAAATGAATGAACAAGCAAACTGGTTTGTAAACAATATCTACTTTTGAATTTGTTAAACTATCTATGCTAAAGGATAAAAATGCGTTGTTTTATTCTTTGTTAATGGAGAAATTTTGGTGGCTTGAAGCCATTCTAGAATGGTAAAACAATGTCATTGCTTTATATTCCAACAGGAAATATGGGATGTATAAAATCAAAAAGGAAAGACAATCTGAATGACGATGGAATAGATTTGAAGACTCAACCAGTACGTAATACTGACCGAACTATTTATGTGAGAGATCCAACGTCCAATAAACAGCAAAGGCCAGTAAGTAGATAGTCTCAGGAGAGAATTCCCACAGCAGGATCAAAGCATGGCTGCATAATTTAAACACCAAATCTGGAACATGTGCATGCAAACAAAATCACATAATTACTTGGGCCTCAAATATTTTTTGATAATGTCTTTATAACTTAATCCTTTAAAGAGCTTATAAACATTTTAGGGATAAGCAGGCCACTTTTCATACAATGAAAGGGCCTTGGCCACCTTTTTATAGGTGAAAACAATCATCTTTCACATCACTGGTGCAAAGACCCACTCATGTATACAGATGTTTATCTATCAGAGCTTGTGTGACTTAGGATAAGTAGTGAGGTCAGTGCAGTGGTCTGGAAGCAGAAGAAAATGCTGGATTCAAGTCAGAAGCCAAAATAGGTGCTAATATGACCTTTGGCATATCATACTTTATCGCATCTTGACATTCTTCAATTAGTTCAAAATAGTACAGATACTGAAGTTGTCATGAGTTACTATAGAACATTAAAAGATCTTAGAAAACACAGCTAATTTGCCCCCTAACCCTGGACAAATATCTGTACCAGAAATTTTATATGAATGATGTGCTGTTAGGTGTGTTTAGGGAATGCTTGGAAAAAGAGGAACTAATACTGTACCACATATCATGGAAAAGAGGAACAGAGACTTGAAAAATTAAAACCTTAAATGTACTTTATTTCAGATCTTATATCCTTTCCATCTATTCTCTCACTATAAATAGGTATATTTTCCTATAGTCTGGTTTTTATGGAATTCCTCAGCACTTACTCTGGATGCAGTTTATTCCAGTTTTGTCTATGCCATTAAGAGTTTTCATAGTGTCTCTAGTCTGACATGTTTGTAAATGCCTTGGCCTTCTAGAAGTGTGTTATTGTGATCAAGCCCTTCTGCCAGCCCTCTCCCCACCATTCCCCATTATCTTGCAGGTGTGACATATGTCAAAGTTGCATGTCATTGTTGAAATTGACAACTCACCATTGGCCTTCTTAAAAGGAAGTGGAGATGAAAAGTGAATATACATTATGCTATTAATTAGTTATACATATATTTCTAGATAGATAGATAAATTAATGCAATTTACATATAGAAACTCAAAATGTATAAGATTATTAATAGCTTTAATAATTTAGTGATAACAAGTATATATAAATATAATATTGAAAACATTACATAAACAGGTATAGATATAGAACAGTATTACTTAAATATGATTAAAAGAAAATAAAGCCACAAATAGTTTTTTTATAGACTTCAAAGATCTCATAAATGGAATCTGACCTTTTCTGGCATCACATACTATATATTCTACATGCTTTAAAACCCAAGTTTTTGTTTTGTTTTGCTTTGTTTTTAATGATGAACCAAGATGTCCTTTATTCAGAAAAACAAAGCAAAAAAGACAAACTTACCCATCATTTTTCCTCTTCTTAAGAGTAAAGGTCGTTAAAGATGAGGTCAGAAAGCAGAAGCAGTAGACATGGCTGAGACTTTCCCATGCCCTCAGGTATAGTACAGTCTGTGTCTTCCATGGTCATAAACGCCTTGTTTCCTGGCTGCGGATAACACTCTCCGCTCTGTGCCACACGTGCCAAAATGCATGCCCTGGATTGACTCCAGGTGGTGATCTGATGAGATGATGAAGTTGAATCCATGCACATTCAACAATGCTGTAAGGACATTTTAGGGAGAAAGTTATGGTGAATGAGTTGCATAGATGTGTTTTGGTCTTATAAAAAGTATATTAACACATTTGTTTATTAAGGACTCGGTGATATTTGAAAATCAGCTTGCTGCTTCAAAATGATTTAACTGATTTCTCATCTTCTAATTATTTCCTCTAAATTATTTATAATTGATCATACACCTAATTATGCAAATACAAATGATTTAAAAGTCAGTATCTAATTTCTTGAAATAAGATTTGAAGGATAATATGGACCCAAGCTTTCCTGATGCCAGGGAGTGTAGTAATCCCTTTGCCCCACCAGCCTTACAGTTGGAGATTTTATGCATTGACTTTCATTAGAAATTTAAATTTCAATACAAACTGTTTTGGTCCCATTCCATTAAGTCACTTAATCAAAGAGAGAAGTCACACGATTTGTGGGTATAGGCCTCTGACCATACCTTCCTTAAAAGGGGCCCACAAAATCTTATACATCCTCCCATGGTCATGGAAAGAAAAAGGAATTTGATTTAAAAGGTAATTGAGGGGGCCTTTGTGCCACTGAAGCCTCCCTGAAACTCATTCCCAACTAAAATAACAGGGATGCCATCTGTCCCCACGATGGAATCAGGGTCAGCATAGAAGGCCTGGCCCCGTTAGGACTTGTTCTCAGCTCCCAGGGACAGAGCCCTGATTACAGTTTTGTAAACAAGTCTGGGAAGCCTGGGGATGAGCAGTCCTGGACCAGGGTGGCAACTCCAGGCCACCTCCAGTCTTCGCTCTGCCATCCCTGGTGTTTTCCAGCTGTCACATGTCTCCAGACAGAAAGAAGGCAAGGGAAATGGTGAGTGTCCCCAAAGCCACAACCATTTTGTTTATAAATACACTTCCCTCCAGAACTGCCTAGAAAGCTAGAGAATTGGGAAACATAGTCATTTAGCCGGACAAATTGCCACCCCAGTTAATATTAGGGATCTGTTACCAAACAAGAGGGAGGATGATGACTGGGCAAGCATCAGGCAGCCCCAGTCTGGAGCCCTGTTCGTGTCCTGCCTCCATAGGCCAATGGCACCTTTTAGGAGGAGAGTCCTGTCTGGTGTCGATGACACGTTGCTTAGCTGTGCAGATGAAGACACAGCTGTACAGAATTTTTTCTCTGTACTCCTTTCCAGCTTATAAATTACCAAAACTAAACCTCAACTCCTATGGTTAGAATATGAGTATGAAAAGTTAATTGTAAAATTTTTTTCTAACAAACATTCTCTCCTAGGTTCCAGAATCTCAGCTCTTACCAGGACAGAGGTTTCAGACTAAAGGTATGTTTGCATAGGAACATGGTAGTTTCTTTCCTTTACTGGTAGAGATGCTGAAAGTAGTTGCCTTGGGTGATTTCACTTACTTTTATATTGTGGAAAAATACACATAACATATTTATCATTTTACCCATTTTTAAGTACACAGTTCCATGGCATTAAGTATATTCATGTTATCAGGTAATCATCCCTACCATCCATCTCCAGAACTTTTCCATCATCCTAAACTGGAACTTGGTCCCCATTAAACACTAACTCCCTTTCTTCCCCCTCCCAGCCTTTGACAACCACCATTCTTCTGGCTCCATGAGTTTGATACTCTAGGAATCTCATATAAGTGGAGATACAGTATTTGCCCTTTTGTGATTGGTTCATTTCACTTAGCATAATGCCTTCAAGGTTCATGCATGTTTTTGCACATGACAGGATTCTCCTCTTTTGTAAAGCTGAGTGATATTCCACCGTGAGTGTGTGTGTGTGTGTGTGTGTGTGTGTGTGTGTGCACGCGCACATGTATATATACACTACGCTTTGTTTATCCATTCATCACTGGACATTTGGATTGTTTCCTCTTTTTTGCTGTTGTGATAATGCTGCTGTGAACATCATTGTAGCATTTCTTAAATATAGGCTTGGATTTAATTATAGCTGTCGGTCTGTATGACTTGAGATAACAAGCACGGTACCCAGCGTGGATAGTGTGCTACTTCCTGTCAACCATGGCGGCCCTGAGCCCCACTGGGAGGGAAGCCCGCATCGTTCTTCCCGTTGCCTTTCTCTTGCCTTTTGTGCCTGATGAGCTTTTGTTAAAATGCTTCTGCTGATGGATTCTTGAAGGTCTTTGCTTCCATCCTTCATTTTTAGATCCAGAGGAGCAAGGAGACATTGTGGTAGCCTTGTACCCCTATGACGGCATCCATCCAGATGACTTGTCTTTCAAGAAAGGAGAGAGGATGAAGGTCCTGGAGGAGTAAGTGCAACTAGGCACAGTGCCCGCTGCCCCTTACTCAGGCCCAAGTCCTGCAGACAGCCCTCCCCCTCTTTGCTTCCCTTGGCACAGCTATAGCCAGACCCCCCTCTGGTGGTGGGCAGGAGACCCCCAACCTCCTTGAGGCCAGCAGGGCTCCGGGAGCAGCAGGAGTAGATCGGAAGGAATTTTCCTCATATGCCTGGCTGTGAGCACTCTCCAGGAGTGCTTTGAAGACAGACACCAGTTTCTTTCTGTGTCCATCTGTGCCATCTTAAAATGTTTGGGTCTGTGTGGCATTTGCACACTATCTCAATGCCATTTTTTGTTTAGTTCTATTCCTCACATTCATACTGGGTTTATGGGGCCAGACTGGTTTGAGTTTTAAGGGCACTGGACTGAAGCAGCAGTCATTTTGGAAAAGTCCCTACTCAGAGCTTGTAACCCTTTTGTGAAAACGCTTAGACATCATTTCCTTGACCCTCTCCATGCGGACTCACAGAGCTGTGGCTCTGCTCAGACTACCGAGGCTCAGAACAGTACTGAGGAGGAGGAATTCAGGTATCTGAATCCTAGCTCGCTGCTACTAACTGTACGCATAGTCACCCTGGCCGGCCAACCAGGGTAGAGGAGGGAGTTCTCTGAGTAAGTAGAAGGTGTTCCATAGTTGAGAGCAGTTATCGCTGAGGTAAGAGTGACTGTCACTGGCTGAGTGTGACCTCGGATTTAGTCCTGGCCCTGCCACTTGATAGCTGTGTGACCTTGGTAAGTCAGTTCGACTGTACAGCTTCTTCACTTATAAAACGGGAACCACGAAGCTTCTGTCACGGGGTTGATGTGAGGGTTATGTGTTTGTGCGTATGCGTGAATGCAGGAGGGGCACACCAGGGCGGCAGCTTGGTGCCAGCTGTAGCTGTCCTTATGTCCTGCAGACAAGGATCCCGTCTGCCTGTGGGAATGTGAAGGGGAACATGGCTGAGGCGCACAGGGACCCACCCATTCCTCCCTCCTTCACTGTCCCCAGCTCCCCAGCTCCACGTTTGAGCAGAACATGCTGATGAGGCCCACCTGCTGGGAATTACTTCATGGTTTTCGGTGGTGGTCATCTGTAGAAACTAAGGGTTTTAACAAAGTATTTTGTAACATACAGACCATGGCTTATTATCCTCTCAACTCCCATTTCCTGAAGCATTTCTTAGCGATGCTGGAAGGGGATTACAAACGTTTTGCTTCTGCAAGTTGGGGACCATTTTCACCCCAACTCTTTTTAGTGCAGCACTGAGCACAAGGACCCCACTTGTGGCCGCACTGTTTCCCTTTGCTTCAGTCTCTAAACATGTCTTTATTTCAGCAAGAGGAGTGAACGTTGCCACTGAATTCTGGGGTTCTCGGACTCTTTCCCCAAAACTCCTTAAGACAATTGCTGTTGTAGCTCCTGAGGCACTGGATACAGATACTTTGATGCTATTTCTCTTCCAGGCATGGGGAGTGGTGGAAAGCTAAATCCCTTTCAACAAAGAGAGAGGGCTTCATCCCCAGCAACTATGTAGCCAAAGTCAACACCTTGGAAACAGAAGAGTGAGTCCTTACATGTTGTCACCTCTGATGGTTTTGTTTGCCCTGTTGGAGTTTTTTGTTTATTCTTTGTCTTTTTCCTTCCCTGGAACCTAACACCCATGGAGTGTTAAAATGTCTTCTCAGGTGGTTTTTCAAGGATATAACCAGGAAAGATGCAGAAAGGCAGCTTCTGGCCCCAGGGAACAGTGCTGGATCTTTTCTCATCAGAGAAAGTGAAACATTAAAAGGTAGGAAGTGGCTTAAGCCCTCTTACTGAAGCACTGTTTACAGAATCGTTCATAGAATTCTTTGTAAAAAGGATGTATGTTATATTCCCGTAGTGAACTTTTATAGTTTGATAACACATAACACAGAAACGATTTATTGTGCTACTAAACACAGAAAGCAATTATGGCCATTTCTTATCAGCTTTGTGTTTGCAGAGCCTCTTACATTATTATTTAGGCTAAACCCTGACATTTTAAGAGAAAGAAAATCAAATAATTTTTCTGTTTAGAAAAATAATAAACATCATGAAGAAAGAAAATGGCATGTTGGTAAACTTCATGGCAAACCAAATGGTAGCTCCATTTGTCAAGTAGACTTTTTATAGGACTTTTAAAAGTATGGACTGTATTCGTAATTTATATTTTATACATTTTTATGGCCAAGTGTGTACTGCAATGTTGTACAATCCAGGTCTTATTTATAAATATAAGCATGATCTTTACTTGTATTTTTCCCCCACAGGAAGCTATTCTCTGTCTGTCAGAGATTATGACCCTGTGCACGGTGATGTCATTAAGCACTACAAAATTAGAAGTCTGGACAATGGGGGTTATTACATCTCTCCACGAATCACATTTCCTTGTATTAGTGACATGATTAAGCATTACCAAAGTAAGTAAATACTGAGGGCTGGACAAAGCAAAATACTTACTATGAAAATATATGATATCAAACACTTTCTTACATTAAACTTTTTTATAGGTCACATTTCTTTTCCATAAAACCAAAGGATCATACTCTAAATTAACTCCAAGTTAATATATACTGAAATGTACAAAATCATTGTGAATACTTATCCCAGTCCTTCCCACTCTGTCCTTGCTGCTTGACAGTTAATGGTTCAACACTATGAAGATAAAAATGAATATACTATTTTCACATCACATGTGTTTTTACAGCACATCTTTAAATGTCTGGAATAGGAATGCAGATTTGCAGATCTCTGTGGAGCCTCTTACATTATTATTTAGGCAAAACCTCACCTCTCACCAAGGAAGTGTGTGTGTGTAAAAGTAATGCCTACTCTTGGTAAAAGAAAACAGAAATAACAACAAAAACAAAATATTTAGAAGTGGCAAGTCCATGGTCCATTTCCAGTGCCGCCCACCGGCCTGTTAAGCTGGGCCTGTGACCAGCCATTAAGTTCATTCCCAGTGTGATTAAAGTTGGTTGCGGTGGGCAGTTGTTACTGCTTACAGCTACAGCCTGCTCCAAGGGAATACACCTTACAAGTTTGCTTAGACCCTAAAATATGGAAAGAGCAATATACCCCAGATTTTGTGGCATCCTCCCTCCCCCTCTGTCATCTCTATTCACTTAGAGCATGTGTGGTGAGTGTTTACTGTTCTCTGGCCTTCCTGGGTTGGAGGGTCCCTGGTGACATCATCAAGTCCACGCTTTTGTGCCCTGAGGTACTTACATGGGCGCAGTAATCTAAACCTACATTTCATTAAGTATGACAACATGTTAGCTTTTATCTGCTTGTTTTATTTGTTTTAAATAGATTAGCAGTGCTAATGAATAAAATCAAGTATGTTTTAAATTGTCTTTCATTTAAGACTTTCAAAGTCATGACTATACAAAAGATAACCCCATAAGCATTTTGAGTTCATAGACTATGGCAAGTTGGAAATTAAAAGACCAATAGTTGAAACTTCCTCAAAGAATACTGGTAAAATATAAAAGTATGACTTCTTTATCCTTTCTCTTCTCTTTCAAATTAGAGCAGTCGGATGGTTTGTGCAGAAGACTGGAGAAGGCATGTATCAGTCCCAAACCACAAAAGCCATGGGATAAAGATGCCTGGGAGATCCCACGGGAGTCCATTAAGTTGGTGAAGAGGCTGGGTGCTGGACAGTTTGGGGAAGTCTGGATGGGTGAGTGTGTGGCTCTGCAGCCAGTCCACTCCAGATGTGACAACAGGAGAAATAAGGGCTCAAGTTGATATCTGTTTGTTTTCTTAGCCAAATGCTAACCTGTATCAGAAGCTATTTCCATTGTGTCTCTCTGTCCACCAATTACTTGAGGAGACTCTTCCTCTTACTTAGTAATTCTCCTTTAGAATGAATGTTTATGAGGAAGCCTGCAACACTTATGTATCCCAATTGTTCTGCCTACTCTTTCTTGATTCCTTCATTACCAGACTCTCTGGTCTGTATTTTAAGTGAGGGACATTTACTTCCATCTCAGGGAAAAATACACTTGGGTTTAGGACCATCCTTGCTCATAGGCTTAATAGGAAGCCTCACATTTATTGTAATGTCTCCCCAAGGAAGTTTCCAAAAATTTTCAAAGAGCCATCCTTAATGAATCACCCCTTATCATTAAGTACTCCCTTCTCAGGCTGGCAAGAGTCACCCCGAAATTATGGCAGCGACTTTCTCCAGGGGATTCTTTCTGCCCATCTGTCTTTCTGAAAGTTTTTATAGTGAATGTGAGCTTCCTTTTCTTTTGTGATAAGAATTTTTAAAAACCCTTTTTAAGAAAAAAAATCATGTGCTCTTCATGATTCTAATTGAAAATGCAGTGACTTCTGGAAAGGATAGCATATTAGGTCATACACATCTTTCCAAATCACTTTTTCTGTGCCAGCTTTGTGTGAGTGAGAGCAAACATGATTTCTAAGGAGCAGGAAGCGGGGTGGAGGTTACACGGCTTACAAAACCTGTGCATCCAGCTGAGTGGGAACTAAAGACTCTTTGCAGCCCCTGCAGCCATGTGGTCATCGCACTTCCCTGTCTAGGGGTCTATGAGGCAAAGGTGTTTCCTCTAAAATCTTTGCCCCTGGGATCACAGCTTTGCCCACTTTCTCCTGTTGGTGCTGCTTCAGCCAAAGCGTCCTTTCAATATGGCACATCCTGACCCAGCCTGCAGTTAACCCTTACTGCACTGTAAGCCTTTGTGAACGTTTTTACGGAATTCAGGTCAACAGCTATAATCAGTACAGCCTCACATTCTCCATTTTGGTCGGCGGATTTCAGAACTAGTCAGAATGCCTATCAGCTCTCTTTCCATTCCCGTCGGCAGATTCGCCGGTGCGAGTGCTCGCTCTCAGTGTGGCCTCTTACCATTCACACGCTGCTGCCTGTGTCATGATACCCTCCTCCTTCTTTTCTCTCTCTGCTCTTTTCTTTTTTATTGAAGAAAAATTAATGTAACATAAGATCAGTCATTTTAAAGTGAACAATTTAGTAACATTTATTATATTCACATTGTTGTGCAACCAGCACCTCATTGTAGTTCCAAGCCGTTGTCATCACCCTAGAAGGAACCCCTGTGCCACTGAGCGGCCAACTCCCCATTCCTCCCCCTCAACCCCCGTCACCCACCATTTGACGTCTGTCTTCTGTGAATGTGGCTATGCTTAGGGGAATCATACCTTGTCTGTCCTGTTACGTCTGGCTTATTTCACTGAGTGTAGTGCCTGCAAGGTTCATCCATGTGGTAGCAGGTGTCAGAGTTTCATTCTTCTTCATGGCTGAATCACATTTGTTCTATGGCTGTGCCACAGTTTGTTTACTTGTTCATCAGTTGATGGGCAGTTGGGTTGTTTCCACCTTTGACTGTTGTGAATAATGCTGCTATGTCCATTCATGTACAAATCATTATGAGGACAAAAGTTTTCATTTGTTTTGGGTTATATACATTCTTTTGGGAGTGGAATTGCTAGATCATATGGTAATTCTATGTTTAACTTTTTGAGGAACCACCAAGCTTTATCTGCTCATTAAAAAAAAAAGACCCCTTTTTATTCCCCCATATACTTACATTTATTTTCTATAATATTTTTAAAAATCTAAGGGCTAGGGACAGGAACAGTATAATAAACACTGTATAGCTTTCTCCTACATTCACTAATTGATAGTTTTCTATATATTATTTATCTTTTTTATATATACACACACACACGCACACATGTATATATTGTTATTTTGTGGAGCCACTTGAGAGTAAATGCAGATGTGACGACTCTTCACCCTTAAATTCTTAAGGCTCCTAAGGCACCTTAAATACATGTGTCTAAGAGCAGGGCCGTTATCTGATTGAATACAATGATCACATTCAGGAAATTAAATGTTGATACATAGTATCATCTAATGTAAACCCTCATTTTCCTAGTCATGACCTTATAACTCTGGGATCGTGTATTTGCATCTGGTTAATACATCTTTAGTCTCCTTGAATCGGGAACCATTCCTTGGCCCATCTTCACCTTTTATGATGACAGCATTTTGTAGGACACAGGTCAGTTGTTTTGTAGAATGTCCCTCACTTGGATTTCCCTGATGTTTCCTGTGATTTGGCTCAGAGTATGCCCTTGTGCACAAATAGCATCTAAGTATAAAGCAATGCTAGGTCCCCAGTGCATCCATGGGAGGCACAGAATATTCGCCGGTACCATTATTGCTGACGTTTCTTTGATTTTTAAGGAAGTCCACCAGATTTTCCCACTGTAAGTGTAATTTTTAATTCCCTTTTGTAACTAATTGATAATCTGTGGGGATATTTTCAAGCCTGTGTAATTACGCTGTGATCCAAAAGAACTTCCCCAAGTGGTTTCAGCGTGCTGTGCTCATGTTGAATTCTCTTCCCCCTTAGAAGTTGTAGCTTCTCTGAGAAGCTGCAGTTGTCCCTGTGTCCCTCCCACACTCCCCTAAACATGTCTACTCCGGCCCCACGGGCTCACTCTGGGAGCCAGGGACTCTGCCCTCCGTCCCTGGCCTCCTCTTTCCAGCCTTGTCTACTTGTTGAGAGGATTGGCCGGCAAGTACACATTCATTGTGACCTTGCCTTGTCCTTTAGGTCTCTCAGTCCATCTGCCTGCTCGCTCTTCTCTGCATTGCCCCTGACCCTGAGAGGGGAGACGATGACAAGTGTGGAGGGGGAGGAAGGAGAATGGGGGGAGGGAGAAAGGACTGTCTCAGCTATAGTGTCACTGCCCCCACCCGCTACCCCCTAGGCTCATTTTCATCAGTTACCTCGTATACTCACTGCAATTACACTGTAAGAGGAATTCTCGTCATCACTTGATAAATGAGGACCCTGAGAATCAGATAAGCAACTTGCCCAAAGTCCTTCAAGGCAGTGAGGATGCCAGCTGTCAGGCAGCCCAGAGAACTGGACTCTTGCTCGCTCAACGATCTGCAAGTTAGTTTGGCCTCCCTATCCTCAGTTTCCTCATCAGGAAAGTTGGCAAACAACCCTCTCATCAGCTGCTGAAAGGAGGAATGGGATGATGCACCTGAGATGTTTCCTGGAGAGCTTAGCTCTGTGCTCTCTATTTTTATCATTATTTTCATTTTACTGTGTTTGACTATAGTCACTGGCAACTGTATTTCAATGGATTTTCCCCAACTTCAGTCATGATTCCAAACTGTAAATAATCCAGTTAGACCTTCCTATGGAGATTTGCCAGGAAAAGAAATCGCATACCATCATGCAGAGAAAAGTAGAAGGAGCTGAGCTGGGGTGTACTTGTCTGCTCCAAGGCAGCGGCCGCATGTGTGAAGTGATGGTGTGGAGTATGCTTCCCATCTCCTTCGTCCAACTGTGAGATCAGGACAAAAGCATCACACTGTGTGCTCTTTTCACCCAAGAGGTCAGATCCGCTGCTCTGGGAAGTTATCACTGAGGGGGAAGAGATCATGGTAGTCCTCTTGTATTTTCTTAAAATTTTCTTGAGGGCTGTTAGCAAGTAGAATGGGAACCAGCTCCACGAGGGTGCTGCCCATGGGTGCCATTTGCCAGCCCAGCTCATGAGGAGCGTGTAAGCCAGTGGAAGTCAAGAGGAACGTAGCAGCAGGGGGCACATGCCTGAGTAGACCTGCCCACCACAGTGCCATCGGGAGAGGCTCAACCCTGTCCTGAAATTGTCCCCTGGAGCTCAAGCACATTGGACCTTTCTGGGACTGAGACAACCTCTTTGCTTCCAATTCCAGATACACCAGATCCTCCTGCCCTTTCTCACCCTTTCCTGTTCATGGGCTTCCTACTGGGCCATGTGCTGAAAGTTCACACTGATTTTAGAGAATTTTTATTTGGCATGTATCCAGGTGGTGCCTGAAAGAAGCTGAGATTTAGAACAGGGGCATTGTAAAATATGCAATTGTCCAGAGGGTTACTTTTTTTTTTTTTTTCAGAGTGTTACTTTTTATTTAAACTCTTTGAAAAAAGGTAAAAATCTTGTGAAAATTCATCACTTGAATAGATTTGCTAATAATGTTTTAGCGTAGGGAGGCAGCAGAGGCTCATCTGAAATGGGGTTACAATAGAACCTAGTTTGCAGGTATAGTGTAAAGATTGAATGAGATGATACAGGCCAGCCCTTAGCCCAGTTGACAGCACTCAAAGAGCCACTGTTATTTTTAAATACTTAGTTTATTATAAAGTATGGTAACATTAGAGTAAGGCTATGAAATAGAGGATAGATGGCCCAGGATTTACCCACTCACACAGGTTGTTTCTTATTTTCTTAAACTTTTTTTTGAGATAATTACACATTCACATACACTTGTAAGAAATAATACAGAAATGAAAACATATGTCCGTGCACATGTGTAAAAGAAATTTTATGCAAATGTTCATAAGAACATTATTCATTATAGCCAAAAGGTGTAAACCACCCAAATATCCATCAGTGGATGAATGGATAAACGAAATGTGGTGTATCCATAGAACGGATATCATTTGTCAGTGCAAAGAAGTAAAGGGCTGACACTTGCTGCAACACAGATGACCCTTGAAAACACTAAGTTAAATGAAAGAAGCCAGACCCAAAGGACCACAGTTGGAATTACATGATTCCATTTGTCTGCAATGTCTGGAATAGGCAAATCTGTAGAGACAGAGTAGATGAGTTGTTGCCTCAGCTTGGTGG